CCATATTTATAATTTATACCAACCTTACACAAACAAGCAACAAAACCTTGGTAGCCAGGTGGAGCTGGCAGAATGAAATCCTGGCAGACCAAAAGAAATTTCTACAAATTCTGTCCCAAGTTCAAAGCACTCCTCTTTTGACTGATTTTTGCCTCTTTGAGATGTTAATAGAGGCTTTCCAAAGCAGCAAGCAACAGAAAAGGGAAGGAGATTAAGTGCACAGAGCACAAGTTCACTGCATAAATGTACCCTGCCATATAGTGGCTAAATACATATCAGGCTATTTAACTCTGTGGGACTGAACTCCCAGCTTCATCACCAATTCTAGGCCACAACAAGAGAAGCATCACTAAGGAGAATTTCTGAGCTTACCAGTTCAACATAGTCAGTTGCAATGCACAAAAGGACAGGAATCAAACTCACCTTCTTGAATGAAAAGTAACATATAAGGGAAGAAAATAAAAAACTAAGCATTTTCTGCTAACAGCAATGCTGGGGAAGATGAAACAGGAAAGCCTTATAAATATGATTGCCGGGCAAAAGCTTTTGAGATTATGGAAACTATAAGTGAGATTGAAATGAAAGCAAGCTTTGAGATACCAAGCCTTAGTTACTGAACAACTGGAAAACAATGTTATGGCCTGTGGAAGGAGCTAACAGTGGGCCTGTTAGCTGAAGGAGCAAGAAGCAGGGAAGTAGCTGATAAGGAGCTGTATTCAAGGTTGTAACTAAGGAGACTAAAAGAAGTGAGGAACAGAAGAAAGACCAGAACTACGCAGCTGGATGGAGTATTTTTATAAAGTTAGTTAAGTCACTGTAACTTTTCACTAATGGTGTTATGTTGATTTATTGTGGCCAATAGTTAAGGTAGAAGAAGTATAAACTATCACAGAGTGTATAAAAAGTCAGACATATTTCGTATTAAAGAGTTGCCAAATGAGACTTCTTCTGGTCTCTTTGTTGTGTCGTGACCGCCCCGACAACGACAATGGCCACTTGATAATAATCAATCCCCTTTTGATCAGACAACACCCTCTGCTTGCAGACAGGTCCAAGGGTCAGAGCAGACCCTGCTAGATTGGCAGAAGGGGTCCAAAGAGTAGCTTTTAAGGTTTAAAATGTAACACAGTATGGTAATGTAACGATTCTTATCGGCTGTGTGCAAATGCTGTAAGATTTGTATCTTGTACTAGACTGGTTATTGAGAATTAGAATATTCAGCATGGAAGAAGATTTATTGTATTGTAATAGGAACTTTGTCCTCTTTTGTCGTCTCTTTTCCTCTTGCTGTCTCTTGCTCTCTCTCTCTCTTTCAGGCTCCTCTTTGGGCCTACTCCGAGCTGTGGCTGGCAGCTCCAAGCAGGGCCCCTGCACCCACATGCTTTGCAATAAACCGCAAGGTCCAAGACCCGGCTTCAGAGATCACTCGTCTCCGTCCGTCCTGACTGTCCTACCCCCCATCGCTCCTACACAGCAAATCTCCTCATCTGCTACTATGTGCAAATTCCTGTTCCCCTCTGCAACTTAGCAGGGCTTGTTGTACCTATTGTTTGATGCTCCAAGAAAAAGCTGAGGTCAGTAAAATAATCCTCTTCAAAACAACAGAAACACCACAGCAACGGAGTATTAGCACGAGGACAGGAATGTAACATATTAATTAACCTCAGGATAATTAAGCATTTTCACTCCCTTCTGGAGTAAACAATTTATTCTCGTCAATTATCAGATCACCAGGATAGGACAAATGAGGAAATAAGCTGCTAACAAGAAGAATTACCCAGCAAATTTCTTGGTCAGCTGTACAGCTCTTCTTCTTGTTCATCAAGACTGGGAATTAGTGAGAGGTGAATCAGAGTGGCAGTGGGGCACCAGCCTGGATGCTGTGCAAGAAAGGTTTAGCAGCAGCTGAAACAGACATGTGACCAACCCTTCTAGACACAAATGCAAAAGCACAGAATGAAAAGTCAATCTCATCCTGTTACACTCATCCTGTTACGGACCTAAACCAAAAATAAATATAGGTCCTCAAAGGGTAATTAGTCTTCTCATACCAGTATATTCCACACACAGTCCATTCCTGGAAATTTTGCTATATTCTTCTGTCCTTTATCTGCAGTTTTCTTAGGCTGGAGTACTCTTTTAACATATTCCTCAGGACAAGAAAACAATGTAGCTCAGATGCCTTAAACTGTGACTGTTATGTTTATGTTATCATAACAACTAAAATTTGAAATTGTCTTGGGCACATAATTAAAGTAATACTTTACCAACCAAATCCCTTTGTTTGTCCTAGAAGCAAAAAGAATAACTTTACCAGAAACTGAAATTATCAAGATGATGTCCTTTTGGGCATCAACAGTACAGAAAGTAATAGTGAGAATTTCTGACAATTTATGACTCTGGTTTGATGCATAAGTATTAGCTGTCAGCATTTCACATCACAACTGAAACAAAAAAAGAAACAAACCTTCATGCAACAAACCAAATCACAGCTTCAAAATATCTTTCTTGACTAACTAGCAAGCCTTGAAAGTCTGTCCTAGCCAATGGAAAAGGAGCTCTCCTCCCATTTCCCATTATCCTTGTAACATTATGTTCCATAATTTCCATTCTACCAACATTCCTCCTGTTCTGCCACAGGTACTCATGAACTCTTTTCAAACAATGTCATTTTAAAATGAGAAAACAGAGGATGTGTAGAATTTTCCATGCTTCCATACAGTTTCCTTTAAATTCAGATAGTTTTCCAACAGTATACTCAATTCACTGGATGGGAAAAACCACAGCTACTGTGACTCAGATGCTAGTAGGCAGAAATAAATGCTCTATGATCTTGAGGTTTCACCTTCTGAGCCTGTAGCTGAAGTGCCAGATTTACTGACCATGTAAAGAGTGAGAATTGGGGAAAACAAGGATTGGCTGTACACCATGACCCACAAAAATGTACTCAGATACCTTCTAAGAATAATGTACAGCTTTGAGGCAGGTATAGTTCCTAAGGATGCACTTCTGCTTTCACAAACAGCTACAAGATAAAGGTGATGCAAGCCACCAGTGCCATGAGTCAGAAGACAATCTACTAAGGAATGATATCTCCAGCTGAATGTAACATGTTCATAGAAGTTTAAGATTATTTTCTTTTCCTCCCACAGAACTCTCAGGAAACAAAAAAAAACAAACCCAAAACTGATGGCTAGATCTACTCCCATGGACAGAAACTAGAATGGCATTGATGAACCAACTTGCAGGTGGATCCATTCATTATTACCAGCATCTAAGATGTACATTTAAGCAAATGTATGTTTCACATAAAAATTAAGCACAAATTGGGCATTTAAGTCTGGCATTCAGCATTCTTGGTGTGGGTTTTTGGAAAAAAAAACCAAGTATGTTTATTTTGGTCAAAAGTATCTGTTTCTATTTCTTGTTTTCTACCTCTGTGACATTCCCTCTGTGACTGAATACTCTTGGAATTAGTAACAATGAATTATAAATTAGTATTTGCCTATGTTGTTTTTTTACTGGCATTCAGGCCAGTTTTTATGGGTTTTTTCCTGTTTTTTTGGTGTGCTCTTCACTCAATCTTCTCATACAATTATTTTCAAAAACTGTTGTTTAAGAGTAGCTTAAACATAGAACCTACTATTTCTGGCATACGACTTAGAATCTAGTATTTACCACAGTCACACACAGTATTTTACAAAAGATTAGCCAAAGATCACATCACAGTTAAGAGATAAATGGCATGGTGCCATTGATAAGACTTTGCTTATTAAATGGCAATGGGAGTACAAATAGTTCAATCTAACATCTGTCCTCATTCTTGTAACTTGCACTTTCCAAAGGCTTCTTAGATCTTCCTGTAAAATAGGACTGTTTAAAAAAGCTAAAGTAAGGAAAAAAAAAACCACAAAAACCCACAAACTTTTTTTCATCAATTATGTTTCAGCAGGAAGATTTACAGGCTCAAAGAAACATGATTTTAACAAACATGAATTAATTCTTCACAACCAACACATTTTTCAAGCCCCACAGTTGTGGGCTACGTTTTCCTTTAGCATCTAACCAGAAGAGAGTAAAATGAACATCTCAGCAGGAACATGAAAGGCTTCCTAATTGCAGAATTGGGCAAATATCAAAATAGGCTTTCTGCTGTAAATCAGGAGTCATTCTTAACACAGAAAAAAACAATGCTCTCATGCCACAGTGGTGATTACTTCCTTTTCAGAAAACTTGTGACCAGAACTGTTCTTTCAGCTACAGCTGAGAGACAGACTGAAACCCAAACAGTCCAGGAAAGCTTCTTCACAGGAGGAAAGAACTGGTGTAAATTCAGAAAGGCTCTCTTGGATCAAACAAGGTGGTTTATACAGGTACCTCAGTAAGAATGGCACTTGGTGCCTTACTGAACTTTTGTATGTTACCTCTTCCATTTAGTATGGACTTCACTGTGAAACTGCTTTAATCACTGGCAATGGAGAACGGGCAAAGTAGTGCCATTCCAAAACCAGAAACTTGTCAAAGGAAATAAAAAAATTCCTCAATGAATGAGGATGAATTTTCAAAACACCATATGTAAAATAAAATACAATCCAACACACCCTAGGGGAGGCTACAGAAACTTTCTGAAAAGCACCGTTCTTGTTGAAATGGACTTCACTTTTCCTGGGAAGTACTCTATTGCTTTGCACACAGCATTGCAAGGTAACAGCACAAGCTATACTCATTACTGCTCAGTGCTTATAAGCTACTTTGAAGACCGACAGTGCTATTACCTAAAAATGACACTGGATAGTGTGCTTCAAAAACTCCTCCTCAAATTGTGAAGTACTTGTTTGTTTACAACATGGCAGAAAGAATAATTATGCGTAACACAACAGGCTGCTCACAGTGTAAGTCAGATCAGCTCCTTAACAGGCTTAACTCATGTCCTGGCTTTTTAGAATAGCTTTTATGCTGAACATTAATGAATGTGGCTTTAAAAAGAAAAGAGTACTCACCCTGTAGAGAGGGTGGCATTTGTCCTTGAAACATGGTGCCAAACGAGCATAGATCTGCAGGCTATAGTAATAGCTTGCCAGCTGGAGAGATAACGCAGAATGTAATTGTTTTTCAAAGCATTTGTTGGCATCTACCACCTAGAAGAAACAGAGAATTAATTTACATGAAAGAATTAGCAAGCATTACACAACATTAAGCGTACAAACTTTCAAAAAATCTATTTGCTGTCTTTTAGAAATAGCCCTATGTTTTTCTGGTGGTTTTTTTCCCCCTTGCACAAACACCTAAACCAAAATGTTTTTGTAACTACACTACTGCTGCTTCTGTAACACAAGGTTATTATCCAGATTTCTGAGTTACATTAGAATTGTCAGTCTGGTAGCCCAACTTCTATTTTAAATAAGAAAATGTGTCTTTTCACCAGTGCCATGCTCAGTGGACAGTCCAATGGCATTTGTCCACTTTCCTTTATATGCAACAGCCCAATCTGTAAAAATGTGTATTAAAATGAAATTGAGTACTTAAGATTTTAACACCTTAAGGAAATTAAATTCGCTAATGGAATTCTGCTATGAATAGTCTTTCCTAGCAAAAATATACAAACAAAGCCCCTATCAACATACCTGTGGCAGAGCAAGCAGATAGGCAAGAGACAAGGCCGCATCCTTTGGTAAAGCATCACTTGCCAGTTGTAGCAGAACTGCAACAGAGAGGGAGCAGACACAAAGTCTGGATTACTGAGCCACCTGGCCTTGAGAGCTAGCAAATGAAATGTTTTCAGGGCAACTATATTTTATTAGACACTAGCTTGAAGCACTCCAGACATACTTAATTAAACACTTATCAGCGCAATCCATAAAGAGATAATACATAATTAAACTGCAGCACAGCTTTACCTTAACTTCCAGGCAAAGTATTTGATGCATTAACCAAAGAAGAATGAGATTGTGCAGCAACACATACTAAACAAAGCCACCTGTACTGATTTCCAAGAAGTAAATATTTTGCTTGTAAAATCAAGGAAGTAATGTAATGTTGTAAGGGTTTGAGGATACCAAGAAGAGGAATGGTACAAAATGTCTTCTCTTCAAGCCTGAGCTCAAACTCCCTTATCACTAAACACAACATATCATATTAAAAACTTCTGCCTCAATTAAAAATAAAAACAAAAACCACAAGTATCATAAGAAACACCACAGCAAGGTTCTACCACATACTGAAAACAAGTATCAGTACTACAGCAATTGTAATAAATTCATCAAAGGATAAGCATTCTGATTATAAACACATATACTTCTGGTAAAACTGACACAAAAAGCACCTGCTTTTCCTACATTATAGATACGAAACTTGAGGGGGGAGGGGTTGTTTCCATTGTTATAGATTACATTATTACTAATGTTATTAATAACAATATTATTTCAATAGGAAGAAGCTATCTTCCAGCAACTTAGCTCTTTATTTCAAGAAAGTCTCAAACATCTGTTTGTTAATTCCCAAATTACATAAATTCCTCCGCAGGGCATGTTGCTAAAAACCCGATTACTTTACACACACTCCCACAGTGAATTGTTTGTTCCAAAGAATGACTTATAAAAGGCTTGAATGACCAATTACGATTTTAAGACTATCATTAATTTGCCATCAGCCTGAAGTGAATTTACATGCTGGCCCTCAGCCAGATACAAGCACTAAATTTCTATGTGACAAGTCACCACAAAGGCTGCAACATAAGCCTGTCCAACAGTACCTATCCTTTACCCTTCAAATGGCTTTTACTGTGCTTCAGACAGCTTCTTGATGCTGACAGATTGTTTCTGCTATATTCTAAATAACCTCTATGCTGTCCAAGCAAAGACAGTACGAACTCTAGAAATATCTAATATTAAAATCTGATGAAAATTGCTGCCTCCTCCTCTGATAATAAGAAGTTACTTTTTGTATTCTTACAACAACCTCCAGTTAAATAGGAAAAAAAAAAAAAAAAAGGAGGAGGAAGAGTTTCAGTTCTGCTCTCTTTTCCCTTTCTTTGGAGAATTAATGTTAATAAAACCTCTTGAATACACAGTAAAATACGGGTTCCCTTTCAACTTTATATCCCCAACATGACTACTGACACACTTGCAAAAACTGATCTTCACCATTAGGATAGCAATAATTACAAAGAATATGGCACCAATACAGGGCCAGAAAACAATATGCTTTTCTTCACACTTTGCATGAGGTGTGACACAATGGCATCCCAACAGCCAGAAGGTATGTAAGAAGAAAGAACTGCCTCTACTGTCATACCATCTAAGAAAAAAAAAATTCCTCTGTACCAATGCAATAAATTTTCTGCATGCTAGTGTGTTCATGATAGGTTTTCATGCATCCATACTTAGATGTCCACTTTACATACACACAAATACATGTATGCAAAAATAATATCATACAGCTTTCTGTCTCCCAGAGAAGCCATTCAAGAATCCTCTGCAGTCTAACAGGGCTGAGTTCAAATCACAGGCTCCAGACATTAGCAGGATGCCATTCTGTCCTGTCATGTGTCTTCACAACATTTACAGGAACCTAATGACATTTCAGACCACTACCAAATCTGGAATTTGCCAAAGGGATTAGACATTACAGGATTGGCAAACCAGGGAGGACAGGCAGTGACAAACAAAATGCCAATGCTGCTGTCCCCCTGCTGTCCCACAAGCACAACTTTCTCAGAGAAACACAACAATATTTTGATTTTACAAGTATACTTGTTTCCTGTGCAGGTCTTTATGCCACAGCCTGTTTGAGAAGCTAAATACTGAAAAAAAATGTTTATCTGTGAAAATTGGAATTTCTCCATACCTAGAAAGTTTCAACTCACTTTCCACGGACTTCCCTCTGGAAAAAAATGCAAAAGGTGCTTTCAGTCTTCAGTTGTTCATTTAGCCCATGATAAAATCTCAATAAACTTAGAAGTATATACTGCATTTAAACCATGAGCCATGTCTACAAGTAACTACAAAATTATGGGAAACATTAAGGTATTACTTGCTCTAAAACCCCTGAGGATTAATAGGTTATGACCATCTGTCTTGGGTTTACTCTGAGTTTAGTGGCAAATCTGGTTAGAAGGATATACAGCCATAATTTCAAATTACATCTCCAACCTCCTGATCAGTCCCTAAGGCCTATGGGGAAAGAAAACCCCAGTTAAACAAGAGATGCACAGCAAGGCCTCAGCCACACCAAGTGTGGGTGCACTATCAGCCCACAGCCAAGGAAGGAGTGCTTTACAAGACTCAGGGAGTTCAGAGTTACCATTTCACTCAGAAATACTCGGTTTACCACCTACATCCACATAGTAAAGACAAGAAAAGTCAAGGTCCAAGGCTTGTAACACTACCAGATCCATAAAAGCAGCAAAATATCTTGAGTTTTATTACAGAGTTTTATCAAGGCCAGACGGGATGGGGCTCTGAGTAACCTGGTCTAGTGAAAGCCATCCCTGCCCATGGCAAGGGGTTGAAATGAGATGATTTGTAAGATTTCTTCCAACCATTCTACAATTCTGTGGTGATGCACACTGTCAGTGAGGCGTGTTTAACCAGTCTCTCACATTGCACATGGCACTGTTATAGCCAACAAAGTCTGATGCTTACTCCAGCCTCTCCTAAAACAAAGTGCCAAGTACAATGAAGACTTCTTTGCTAAACTGCATCTCCCTCCAGGTTCTTCAGTTCTTTTGATGGCGTTGAAACCTGCTGCTGTAGCTGTCCTAGAAGACAGCTAGAAGCAAACAGCCAGGATTCAAACTCATCAGAAAATCAACTGAAACCAGCTATGCTTGCAGTTACTAGACCAGTGCAGTAGCTGACATCTCATATCAGCATTCAAGTTTTGTACGGCAAAATCCTCCTGAAAACGTACAAGAAGCCTGAAAATGATAAAAATGCAGAATACTAAGTGGGATTCATACCTGTGTGATTCCTTAAACTTCAGCAGTGTGCTATCAATACATATATTTTCAATCTGCACAATTCTAAATGCGTTAACTCATCATAAAGACTTCCAAGAGAACTGACAAAGCAAAGCTTTAAGGGGTAAGAGGTGGGATCCAATATCATTAACACAGGGCTAAACACACCAAAAATAGTAAATTATTAATCCAATTATTTAGAGAAAACTGTTACACTTATGCTTAAGAACAGTTTACTGAGTACCAAAAGGTGTAATACACGAAAGGATTTATGAGTCCAGAATAAACACAGCCCATTTTTCCAGAGGAAAACACAGAACTCTGTTTCAGAGCACAGTTGGAGGGACTCTTAAGTGAAACTGACTATAGAATAAAAGTGGTGGAAGAGAAGTATTAAATGGCAAACATTTTATTGTGCACACTTAAGAGGAAGGAGACAGATGCTCAAAAACTGAAGCTAGAATCTAAAATTTCCTTTCTTCTTCAAGCAAAAGTCCCCAACACTGAAATTTCCATCTCAAAAGCAGCCACTGAATCAGTTCCAATTACTCAAGTTCCAGCAGGAACTGTTACCACAGATCTGCCAAGTAAATCATTTTCCCTAAGGAAGCAATAACTACTTTTTAATCCTTGCCTCCCCCTCTTCCTTTAAGACACACAAATCAAAGCTAAAGGCCTAAGGGCATTCAGCATGCAACAAATGAGATTTTAAGTACTGATTTTAAAGGATTTTTTTGCATTAAGAGAGCATGTAAAGAACAAAACATGCACACACCCAATTTATACAAGCTGTTGCTAACCTTTTCTGATTCAGTGTTTTATATTAGAACTACACAGGTTATCTGTACGAACACCACATATCTCAAACTACTGAATCATACACTTGTAAGACAAATATGCTGGTTTTCATGAAACAGTTTGAGTAAATGTGTGGCTTATGAAGAAAGCCTGTCACGAAACTTCTCATCTCCTAAATGATTTAATATACTCATTTTTCATGACAGAATTTACCACAAGCCAAGTATAATACATATATCTTCCTTCAAAAGACACTAGCAGCATGTAATATTTAAACAGTTAATTTCTCAAACCAACAGGAGACATCCAAAAGGAAAGATAAACAACTACAGATGTTTTTTTGTTTTTTTTTTAATTGAAATTATTTCAGTTAAAAAGTTATTAAATATAACCTATAACATGTAGACATTTCAGAAGAAGACAGAAAGTTCTGATGATTCCACAAGCTGCAGTCAAGAACTAATTGGCAAATAAAATACTACAATGAGCCTTCAATATTGAAACCTGGCTATACAGTGGTACAGAATCTGATCAACTGAATATGCAGGCATACAGAGAAATAACTCACACTGGCTTGCAAACTCCCATTGCCTGTACATGGTAATATTCAGGAAACCTTCAACAATTCCTCCTATCATTGCCAACCCCCAAATAACACTTTCTGCTTATTTAAAGAGAACTTTCATTTTTCTATTCGTTGCTGAGCAACTCCTCTTGAAGTCACCAATTCCGTTGAAAACTCTGCAGCTACTTCTAACAAGACTTCTTACCAACAAGAGCCGTTGAACCAGATCACGATTCATGCAAAACACCCAGACAATACTTCAGATCATTCTGTGCAATTCTCCCCACTTAAACCCACCCACAGATAATTCTGTATTTACTATATATGGAGTGAATATATTCAATATGTCCATACCTTCTGTAGTTGGAAGTAGGTCTTTTCCTTCACTCTTTGTCTCTGCGAGTTTCCCTGTTCTCAGCAACACTTCTGCAAAGCTTTCCAAAGAATTGTTCTGGTATGTTCCATAGCTGACTTCAGACTGGAAGTAAAAAAAGAACTGACAAATGCACTCTACACCTGCCTTTTTATTTGGATCACTTGCATCACATGCAGCTGCTTACCGCCATTCCTCTATTTGCTTTCCTTTGTTTAATTCTAGATTTTTTCCTACTATGGCACAGAACTTCAAGCCACACATATAATCAGAAACTGCGTCTTTTCATTTATTTCACGATTATATTTCATGATTATAAAATCACAACAAAAACCTGCAGACTTCTGTAACTGTAACTTACTTCTGCAACATATGGATCATCAATTAGAGACTCATAAAATGGATGACAGCCTTGTTTTTCCACGGTAGCATTTTCTCCAGACCCACTTTTTAATACATCTCCAAATTCCTGGCCCTGGGAAAAATAAGTATAGTTGAGCCTAGTTGTAAAAAAGCTCATAAAAATGCTGTAAACACTATGCAGAAGGGAAACAACTGTAAATGAAAAGATCACTGAATTCAGTGGGGAACAACAAAGGAGTCATCTTACATAAACCAGTTCTGAATGAAGTCCAGTATTCTTAAAAAAGGAAAGAGAATCATGTTCAAAAGTAGTATCACAGAAAACAGTGGCACAAACATTATAGAAAAGTCACTGAAATAGAGGAAGTAGAAACGAGAAACTGCAAAGGAACAGCTCTGAATATAAGATGACAGTATTTAAAGACTAGGCTTTACTGTGCTTTGTTCCCCAAAGTTTTAAAGTTCTGTCAAATTCGAATTAGGCCTTCTTACACTATGCTAAGAAAACAGGAGAAAACAGATGAGAAAACAGCTTTAGACCCCTTCCTTCACTGGGATTTCCTTGCAAACAGTCCTGTGATGTCTGTAGTTTGTTTACTGATTTGAGGGTTCAGCTGTCAGGTCCTACAAAGGAGCTGAGTTTTTACGCTAATGTATCACAAATGTGCAAACATCTGGGGACACATCAGGAATCCCTTACATGTAATGGTCGCAGGTAAGTTAAGGATCTCTTCCACCACTGCCCATCACTGACAGCATGCAGCATGGCTTTGGTAGTCAGAGTTGTGTTGGACAACACCTTCATGGTTTTGGATGTCGTCCAGTACAACAAATCAGCAGACTGGCCAGAGGAAACGCTGGTTTCATCCTGTGACATATCCAACACACAATGCAGGGGTTAGACTCCTGCTGTAATTAGGTTAGTGATCTAAAGCCAAACAAATGCATTAGAGTTCAGGCACACTATATTAGTAACACACTTGAATGACCATTAATTCAGGCAGCAGCTGCCAAAAATAAACAAAAGACAAACTGAAAGTGATTTAGGAGTTTCACTGTGAAGTAAGCACTGTGATCAGCAGAACATTTGGCCCCTTACTCAGTTATCACCCCCTGATTCCACAAACAGCACTGGTTTTAATTCCAAAGTTTATAATGACAGTGTTCTACATAAATGTTGAATGTTTCTACTAAAATAATCACCTCTCTACAAATGTAAATTATTTTAGTATATTAAAGTTAATCTTCGATAATTCAAGAAAGCTGATACTAGAGACAATCTTGTATTCTTACAGAGGTAGAATTAAGTCAAATTCCCAATAGGGGAAATGGTAGAGATGTAAATACACATCTCTAGACCAACTGATAAAATACCACCAAGCTCTGACATTTTGCAGCTGGCACACAAAATACTGAAAAAACAGCCAGCCCAAAAGACTACAAGAATCCCAACCTTTTCTCAATCAAAAACTGCTTCTGCAATACATGCACATATACCCTCACTTAGTATGAACTCACACGTAACTCCACCCTTAAAAGCAGATACATGTTCCACAAACAGGGCTCTCTATACCAGCTCTTCCTATGTAGAACATTTAAGTAATACCCAGAATATTCATGTTGTCCAATCTGTGCTATTCCAGCTGTCAAACGTTTGTGTTAACTGCATGCTTTACAATGTGTGCACATTAATCATAAACATATAATTAACATACTGAAGAAAACACACTGTTTTCACAACAAAAAACAAATATTTTCCTCCATATAGCAAACTTGAACAGCCAAATGTTTATCCCTAACAACTCTACTATTAATTTCCCCATACACAGAAGTATATTGGAACAGAAAAATTCTACCTGTATAACGGCATGGGATGTATTAGTTTACAACTAATACTAATTCAACTAATTAATGACAAAACCTCAAACATGAGAGCCAAAGTTATACTGAAAAGAAATACATCCCACTGTAACCTAAGAGGAAAAATGTACCAGCTTCAATAAGGTAGAATTTCATGTAGAAAACCTTATTTTTAGTACCTTTTAGCATAACATACAGTAAATGACTGCCTCAAGCTGACCACTGAAGTAGCAGGTTCCTCTTAAGTCCTTCAGCATTTGTTTTAATCTTTTCTGAAATCATAAGTGTGCATTTCACAGATGCGCCACTAATGAATCAACTGGCTGAACTGGGAATTTCAGCTCTTGCTTCACCAAATTAACAAAGTGCATGCCAAGTACAACCTGTCAGAATTTTTGTCTGAAAAATTAAAACCAACTGCAAATTCTAGGTTTGGTGGCCTGGGGGAAGAATTTCTTGTTCACATGTTTTTTAAATAAACCATCTTAAGTAATTAGCAAGACACATTTATTTTAAATGTTACATACAGAATACTAATTCCTCTCTGCCACCATTTTCAGTGCTGCGACACACCTTGTTGATTTTTCATGGAAGAAAAACAAACCAAAACTAAACCAAACTAAAACAGAACGAGAAAAAAAACATCCCACCCAAGCTGTCAACTGCATTTCAGCAAAGCACTTTTCTTTAAATCAGCCTCCTTCAGCAGTGTGAAAACTAATGATCCAACTTGTATGCAGGTGTTAATGCTTATGGCACTACTGCTATCAGATAAACTCTAATGACTTTTGTTTAAAAATAATTTCACTCTTACAAGTCATTACAGTTTTTTCAGCAAAAAGAGAAATTCTATTTTCTGAAAAGTCATTTTTACTCTGTACCTGGAGCAGCAAAACTTACAGGTTACAATTTTTTGCTATCTCAAATCAATCTCTCACAAAGTAAGTGATTTCTTAAATCACTGACTGGAGATCTCATCTCAAGAAAACAACTTTAATTATATAATTTAATTGCATCTTTAGGGAGAAGTTATATTTTGGGGGTTCTGAGAGGTGTTTGGAAGAAATTATTTTCTTCTATTAATTCTTCCTGACATCCTTTATAAAGTAAGCACTTCTGATTAAAATCAAAGTAATAACAGCAACAACTTATTAAATAGTAGGCAAATTAGCAGATTGAAAATTATATAAAATGACATATAAAATGATATAAAAAAGACAACCAACAAATTCTGAATTATCAAGTTATTCTAAAATAACAGCTAAAATATTTATATCAATATATACAGCACATGTTTATATTTAAATACACCTTTGCTCCTACATACACCTATAATTCCAAATAGTTTAATGGGAGGACATATAACAAAGCCAACTGTGAGACAAGCCACACAGGAGACAGTAACAAATTAGAACAATAGCAGCATGGATTTTAGGATTGGTTTTGGTCTTTAATGACAATTAGTCAAGGTGCAAGGATTAAAACTTGCAAAAACCATACACTGCATACACTTTGCATGTTAAAAATCATTTTATGTCAAGACTATGAAGGAAATGAAATTAGGTAGAACAGAGTCTGTTCAAAAACAGAGCATCACACATTAGGTCTTCCTTTTCCCTTTTTGGTACTTCCATTGCCAAACAGGAATTTAAAATAGTCTCTTTTACATAAGTATTCATGCAGAACTTGTATTTTTTTTTTTTGTGCCTTGGAGGGTTCTATATCAGGGATTTAATTTTTTTTTTCAATGTCTGTTACAATGTCTGATAAGCTATGAACCACTCCAAGTGAAAACTCCAGTCCTGCAAAGATAAACCAGACGCTGAATGAGAGACTATGGGAAAGATTCAACTCAAGATGACAACACTAATATTCAACAGCCACTGAATGTTCAGGCTCTTACTAGGGCCATAATATCACAGAAAAAAAGAAGTAACCCAGCCTGAAGCAGACACAAAGCATTTGATTCAGCTGCTGAAACACAGGCTTTGATGAGTGCCTGAGATATACAGAGGTAATTAAGACAGCTGCTTAACACCTGCAGATCTGACAGGGACATTTTGGAGCAGCAGCTAAAGGACAAGAGCATAACTGATCATGACTCTCTAATAATTTCTAACCAGCTGTGATAACAATGTGTGACCTACCAATTTAATGTAAACAAGTGTTCTAGGAGATCCTGTCTTTTCCCAGATATAGTGCTTGGGAAAACTGGAAAAACAAAAGACACTAATGCTCTGTCAATGAAACATTTTCATTTCTTTAAGAAGCCTTTAAGAAAATAATTCTTATAATTTGAACATATGTTCAAATTATAAGAAAATCATTCTTATATTTTGAACATATTAATTTCTCTAGAAAACGTCTAGAAAATACATCTTTTCTATCAAGAGTTTATTCTAAAAAAACCCTTTAAACTTCATTTCTCTTGGGTTGATGCGCCACGTAACAGTAATTACACTTCCATATTGAGATATATAAAAAACAATTATTTATAACAGATGTAAACATAATTTAAATATTATGCAGATTTAACAAATTCAGAGCTCACTTACAAGGCAACTGATTAATATTCTTTTGTGCTGATACACAAGACAGCATCTCATGTCTAAGCATTTTATTTGAATTTAATAATTTTACCATTAATATTCTGAAAGGCTTTTCATTAATCAAGAGCATAATCTTCTCACCAAGATATTCTGGTTGAGCAGCACAAGATTAGTTGTTTAGGCACTTGCAGCACACACAAGTAAAAAGGATGAGGAAATAAAAAGGATGAGGATTGGTGAAACTAAACATTTTGCTTAAAAACAATCTAGTACATTGGAATCATCATAGATTCCACAGCATAACTTCTCAAATGGATTCCATGACTTCAAAAAACAGTGACAAGGTGACACAAAGCTTGTGCAAATGCATTAGCTCCTACAGAATAATGACGTGCAGCTTTATCACAGCATTCATGAATTTCTTTTAGGGTAGGACCAAAAACTTGGAGAAGAGTTATGCTGAAGTCAACATGAGAGGAATATTAAATGATCCATTTTTAAGCAGTCTATGTATATATATAGCCAGCTCCTATCAAGATTTCTGCACATTTCAGAGGAAAAAAAATCAGAGGAAAAATTGAATACAAACGAAATTCTATCAGAAATTCCTAGGGAAGAGTTCACCAAGAAAAAGCTGATGAAAAAGTATAACCAGCTGTTGATGTCAGTTAATATAAAGGAAGAAATGGTAGTAGAGACTAATAATTCAATGTTAGACAAAAGAGGGATAGAAAAAGGTCACTAAAGGTTTAAAAAGTGAACATGATATACTTACAGATAGGTATTTTGAATGCAATAGAAAAAGGGATGCCCAAACACATGTATGCCACACCTTAACTGAGTCACAGTAAGAAAACTTACACTTGGGGCACCAAATTGAAAAAGCATCAGTAAGCGAGAAAAAACAACATTTGTCAATTCCCTGAAATAAGGATTGTGGAAGTTAATCAGGATCTAAGTGAATATTTTTTTTCTTTAAAAAACTAAAATTCTGTGCAAGACAATGAAGGTGAAGCACAGGGAATTAGATGAAGTGTAACTACAAGGATGGCAGTTACGGGATTCAGTGAAGCCAAAAAAACTCAGTTATTGAATATATTGCTTTTCTAACACTGCAGATGTCTGTAACAAAGGAAAAGTTATACAGTGAGTAAATATTTGGCTATGTTTCCTCCTGTGTCATTCCAAGAAATGGAAAAAACTATAAATCCCTATTAAGTCAACTGGGAGAGAACAAAAGGAAAGAATTAGCAAGTATACAGAACTTCATTTCCTAGTCTGAAACACAACATGCCAAGGAGCCTTATTAAAGAAAAAGAAAATACACCTCAGTGCAGCAACATACAAACTTGCCAGGTCAATTGTCTACTTACTTTGAATTCTAAAGAGACAATCAACCACAGCTAAGGGGGGTGGGAAATGAATGCTATATTGGAGAAATTTTTGAATGCCAATTCTCCAGCATAATGAATATTGCTTTCAATATGCAAACTGAAATTATAGCAAAGTTAATTAGTCAGTTTACTCAACTCTGATAAACTTCTGAATAAATTTCTGAATCATTTATATGCATGTCTAATTGTTCTGCCACAATACAGTACAACAGCACATGAAAGGTGATGCATGACAAATTTTTATAGACATTAAAATATTGTAAACATATGCATCCACACCCATATTAATTTTATAAGCATCTACTTAATAACTTCCCACTCAGAGAGATGCATCTACAGATTTCCAGAAAATAAAATGCATTTGTGCCAGTGAAACAGACCTGTTCTTCATAGTGATGGTTCTGGCAGACACAAAATTGACCCTCTTCCTCTGAACACTGTTTGTAGTGCTATTTTACCTTCCTGCCATTTATTTCATATATATGCAAATACACACATCTACATGTATGTCTACATGTCTACATATACATACATATACATGCACATGTACATACATAAAAACCATACACAAAATATGGACATATTCTCCAAGGAGGCTGGAACTCTCATAATTTCTCAAAAAGCCACCCTATGCAACACAAACTTCCTCTTTCTTTCTTTCTTTCCTTCCCTCTTTCACCACCCCCTTTTAATCTCTTGGTTTTTGTACTTCTTTAAGGCTTTTGATTCCCCCCTCATCCCTAGATTTATTTATCACTCACTTATTTCATTAAACAAAACACAGAGAAAAGAAGAAATTAAATACAGAATTTTCCACTTCAAAGACTGTGAAAAACATTCCTGTTTTCACAAATAGGTAAATAATTACATCGTCTTTAAAGAGAGAAAAGTACTTGCAATTGTACACACACAGACATAAAATAATAGACATAAAAGCAGAAAGAATAATAGACTACTTGTTTCCTGTTGTCCTGCCTGTGGAACACTCAATGTTCCTTCTGATCTTACACATAAATATAATTTCACATGCAATGTACGAACATTATAAAGTAACAAGTCATAAACTTCATGATGCACAGAACTAAGGGGAAAAATAAGTTTAATTAAAAACATTTTTTTTTGCTAAATATGTATTTCGGGTTTAAAATTGTTTTACAACTGGGACAGATTAAAAAAAAAACAAACCAATATAAATGTCTATTTTAATGTAAGTTTTTTTGCACTGTTCCCACCTCTGGGTTGATTTTTTTTTTCCAAAGGTGCTAAGACTGTAGGAAAAAGCAACAAAAAAACAAAACAAAGTATAAATACAGAAGAAAAACCTTGACGTTAATCTAACAACAGAAAGTAGTAAGTCTAATGTTGCTCGTTCTATCTAGTAAGCAGACATTGCTAAAAACTCAAATTCTGTTCTTCAGAGTAATGTAGAGCAAAGTCATTTTTACCTTTAAAATTCACATTAAAACTTACCTCTGCATCCTTACTGATCAACAAAGAAGGCCCAGATGTACTTGAATTCTCACCTCCTTCAGAAGGAAGAAACTGGTAATTCACAGCCTGATAAAGAATCTGTAAACATGAAATAAATATTATCTTTTGCCAGTCAAATAAGCCAGTGAAAGAATTATGACTGATTTCACGTGAAATCCAAGAAAATGACACAAAGGCTTCCATGATAGAAGAGGAGGCAGAAGACTCAAATAAGAAAACACAGCATCTCTGACATCTGCACAGTGCTGGAGTCTCTAGACAAAATGACCTTCCCGTCTCCATGAATTTTGTGCAGTATTTTTCCCACAATCTTAAGATGATTTTTTTTTCAACTTTATGCACCGTGCTGTACAATGTAAAGTAAAGAAATATCGTGAAAACATCCATTATCTGAACTGAGACTCTGAGGCATTGGACAACTCCTCAAAGGCAAGTGTTCCACAGGACAGCAGTTTGGTGAGCAGAAGTTCCGCACGGAACTTCCAACTTCACACACTGCTTGTATTCTCAGACACTTCTATTCAGGGGATTTTTTAAGGAAAAGGCTACACACTTGCAGATGCCTTAATCAGGTTGTACATGTGCTGTAGCTATGACTCCCCTTCACCCCCATTCTTACATGTCCGAAGACCTCTAAGATGTTTCTATTACACAATTATAAATCTAAGAACACCATGAACTCTTAGACAACTAAGACAATTATGAACTCAAACAAGTCATAGTATGTAGGCCAAGCCACAATTACAGTGAACAGAAATTTAACATTTTGACAACCTAAATTACTTCCCTTCAATTTCAAATAAAACTTTTGCTATGTCACCTTGACATAAAGTGTATTTAAATGCGACAATTATGTGTTCTCACATATATACTGCAATCAGCTCAACACCTAACATGTGATTCTATCAAGTCAGTCATTGCAGAGTTAATAAAGATTGCTCAGACACAAAGCCTCTTGTAAATGTTAAAACCATTACGTCATTGAAATCTGTGAGAAACTAATTTAATTGCACATTGGGTAAAGACGATAAAAATCACAGAATAAACCCTTAATAGACATTTATGTGGGTATTTAATTAAGATGCATTGCAAAGTATAAATACCTGGAAAATATTTTAAAATTTCATCAACTGCATTTTTAAATAAAATATTTAGCAATCAATAAAGAAATTAAAAGTCCTAAAGACAGAAAACACAACTGCACTTCCACTTCAGAAACCAATTCATCACACAAAACTGCTTAGAAAGAGACCTCATTTGCTGAACTAGAACAGTGAAAGTAGAGGAGTAGTGCAGAACAAATATAAATATACTGGAGGGTGGAACTTAAGGGAACAAACTTGAAAAAGAGCCCAAGTCCCCTTTACTTTGGTAGGCACTGAACTCCCACGACAGAAGCTCCAGAGACAGGTACCTGTGTTTGCAATGAGCTGCTCACGGCCAGCAGCGCCTCTATGGCGCAGGGGGGACAGTGTGTCAGAGCAAAGGCCATCAGCTCCTGGCGCATCCCCAGGTCCTGGTAGCCTTCTGACTGCCCCAGCTGACTGCACACCTCCCAGCTTTTAGAATAGCCTGCAAGGGAACACAAAACACACTTCCTGTCACAACTGAAAGGAGGATGCTGCCCAGTTGTTATTGGATGAGATAAAGGAGGACATGTGGTATTTCTGTCAAGGCTTAACGTCCCCTGAAAAAGGAACCATGAAGGCTTCATAAAACAGAGATGCAGCTCAACTTTAGACTGACCAAATACATAAAAGACTAATTTTTATTATATTGTAGATAACAATAAAACAGGCATTTGTAAGCTTACATCCTGTATTTTTACATATTACAATAAGAAAATCCTCATTTATTTCAGTGCATGATACTGAACACCTTACTGAAGTGCCTGTAAAAAACAAAGTACAAAATCTATCACTTGATATATTTAAAAAATCTCAACACAGCTTGAATTTTCCCCCTCATTCTCAAAGCAGAAAAAAAGACCCAAAGAAACAAATCCCATCTTCCTTAGTATTTTGACACATATATTTCATTTACTTCCATTCATACTGTCACATGCACAAATCATATAAATAGCACAAATATATAAATATCTTAGGAGTTCTGACAGAAAGGCAGACTTCTAAAAGACCTGCACTTTCCTGCTAGCTGCAGTCACAAGGTTTTACCTCTCTGAGGGGGCTACAGTGTAGAAAGAAGTAGACACTGTAGTTCCCAGAGGCATACAGAAAAGCTCTCTGAGGTTACACATCCAGTAGCTCAGTACACACTTATTCCATGCAGTATTTACTGTTTGTGTCTCTATTCAATGCCAGTGCACTTCCAATAACAAGATGTAACTGCTGTTGTAATGAAATGGAACAATCTGAAGTACCACACCTCACAGTAAGACAAAAGTCAGAACTCAGATTTCCACCTCCATCACCTCATGCATCCCTTATTTATTCACTTCACCTGCGGCCATGAGCTCTTGGCAATGCATACTAGCTGCTTTGTAGTCCTGGAAACTGAGAGCCTGTTCCACTAAAAGGATCAAAACTTGACCTTTTCTCTCCGTCTGATCATCTCCTGCAAGAAAACAAATCAAACTTTTTATTAGTTAATTGGAATTAATGGTCAACTTAAGCTTGCCACTTTTTTCTTAAGAATTAACTATATACCACAACATGAAAAGCCCCTCTTGAAACTGAAACAAAAATAAAATTACCTGCATTTTCCTGAAGAAAACAATAAAAGGAGTTAGTATTTTAAAAAAAACATTTGCACCACAGCTTGCAAAAAACCCCAAACCAATTAGCATATTATGTCAAGGTTAAAAAAAAGAAGGTTTTGAAAATTGTATTTATGTGTTGGTCAAGGATCAAAACTGATATTTAAGCTAAGTGACATATAAATCAAAATCCTGACACTGAAAAAATAAAGTCCATGTACTGTAATAGAAGAATTAAAATGTTTGCTTTCATATAATATAGAGAAACCCATTTTAAACTGCCACTTCATGGCTCAAATTAATACATGGGATGCATAAAATGTAAGCATTTAAAAATTCATAACCTCATAAATTGAGTGAATAGAACTGAAACTAATTTTTCCGTATCATACATCCATCTCAGCCACCAGACCTTCTGGACAATGCCTCTTCCACTAGCTATGAATCAAAAGTTACACTTCAGATACTACTGAAGCCTTCTGACTAAAGCTTCATCAAGAACCTTTGTAGAAAAATGTCCTGACCTCAATTTTAATACATCATCATTCTCAGATGAAAATCTAATGAGACAGCTAATCTCCATCTCAAAGCCACTGATAGTCAATACAAATAACATTTATACCTGTCACCCTATACTAGTCATCTATATTTTTTTAAGCCTTTTTCAATTTAGAGTGAACAATTTGCTGGCATTAGTTTGTCCAGTCTTGTGTTCAAAATACTATGTATATCCCTGCACTCTATGAGAAGGTGACAAAACATACACAGGAAAAACGAACTATTAATTTAGGAAAGAATTTTTAGAATAAAAACAAATGGATTTTTTAAATGCAAGCTTCTTGCTCATGCTTCTTCTCTATTATTAAAAGCAATTTTATGCAGTCAGTGTTGTTACAGTAATTTGAAAAGGGCACTGGTTTATGAAACTGTATTACTACAACTTGTGAAATGCAAATATTTCAGAAGGTTAAACAGATCCAGTTTCAAAAACCATTTAAAGAGTACATGTTCTTAAATTGCATAGCTGTTATTTTTAGCTCCTCTTTGCAGATCCATCACCACGGACAAAGCAAATTTCTTTTTAAAGCCTTCTCAAAAGGAAAGCTGTAGCAGTTGCACTACAATGACATTCAGGCAAGTGAAGTTACCCTAATTAATGAACTCAATCAAGGCTCCCCTAATCCCTGCACATCACGACTAACTCAGTTGGGAGAACAGGTTAGCTTCCCATCATTTTATCTTCCAGCCTCCTGCTCAATATACTGCCAGCACTTGATGCTGCAAATTAATCACATTCAAGGCTCTCCTGTTGCAAAATGATGCCCTCTGGAACCTGGGAACCTCTCATTCGGGCAAAAGCAATTACAGATGACAAAGAGGTGCTTCTATCCTCACAAGCTAAATGTGAACTGTCATTTCTCTAAGCGAGGGACACGTACTTGCCACTCGCCTCCTGATGTGCGCTTCACCCTGACAGCTTGACTTCTTACAGAGAGATCTGACTAAGTAGCAGACAAAAAGGAAAGTCAAGAGAAACAATCAAACTATTACCCCCTCAGATTTCAGGCAAAATCATCACTGCTATTTATGCCCACTTATAAATCAGTGGGACTGAAGGAAAGAAAGGAAGCACATTCGGACCAAGGAATGGTTTCTTTAACTGTGCTTGAGCAGCTGTATGGTATCAAGTCCCCCATCCCCAATGTTTCAGCCAAGGACTTTTGGTGCAGGAGGATACGTCTCTGCGTGTTTTACAAAAGCACAAGTGTAAAAAGAAAAGGATAACTCACTAACACTTCCATTACCTTGGCACTCACTGTTAGGGCAGAGAACAACCACTGGCTCCAGTGGTACTCAGTGAACCCGAGTGAAGCCCTTTTCCACACACCTTTCATTAACCATGCAGTGACTGATAAAGCTCACTGCTGCAGTTTAGTTGTCATCTTCTATTCAGACATAGAAAAACTCACTGTTTCAGCTTTGTAACACATCATTTGATGGAATTTTAATAATAAATTCTTATAAAATGAAAAATTTTGAATTCTAAATTGTCTCCCTTGCCATTCTGACAGCTATCCATGACTTAAACCAAGACAGGAATGACAAAATTCTTCAAATGGTGACCTGATTATATTACATAGTAATTATGTTACAAGGCTTAATGATAACACCTGACATACAGACTCAAATCAAATTCAGAAACTGGAAAGTGGAAGGGGATAACCTAAATGATTCCGAGGTTATAATAAAAATAACAAGAGAAAGAACATGAAAGCTCAGAAATAATAGAATTTTTTTTCTTGAGAAATAAAGGCTATTCAAATACTTTCTAAAAGCTTGGATCCAGGGTGGATTATAAAAAGAAAAAAGCTTATTGAAATACCTTGGGTAAGATGCATGCTATTTGTGAGTGGATAAAATAACATTATCCTGAATGAAATAATGCCATTAAAACTCAGAAGTCAAATTATATCAACATTGTACTTCAGAAATTCCACGTCGACTAGATTTAGGTGATTTAGGAACTCAGAAGCCACCTACATTGTTCCAAATGCAAGAAAGTCAATGTTAAGAAAGATGGATTTCAAAAATAAGCTTTAACTAAGGCATCTGAGCAAAGTTTAAAACTAACAGATTCACTTATGGATACTAAAATTAAATAAATTTACCACAGACAATTGTGAGGAAAGAGAATAATGGAAACATTTCTAGAGAGCCTGACAAAGGAAATAATGACCAACACTCAGTAGATCGTTTTGACATACAGTAAGAGTACAGAAGACGCTCCTGATTTCTGATACAGAAGCTTTTTTCCTTTTTTTTTTTTTTTTTTTTGCACAAATCTACTCGAGTAATTGCATAAAGTGAATTTGTCACACCCATTCTTAACAAAGAGCACAAATTAAGTGAGGATTGCACAGAGCAGCTCCAGCTCCCTGAGCATGTGCAGATTTTCTGGCTGTCATGCTGAGCACATTCTTCTTCACTCACTTTACCCATCTGTGAAATTAAGATAACAGTTGTGGGCTTACTTTACAGAAGTAGTGACATGAGGCTTAAGTAGAGTTCACTGTAATTAATCAAATACTTTAAAGCAATTAAGAAGCTGGCTGATATATCATTACCTAAGCAAGATTTTAACTTTGATAAGTAGGAATATAAATTCTATTATTCACTTTCAGTGTTGCTCTCAAAGCAAGCTGTATTCAGAATACATAGTTCACAAACCTCCTTAATAATGACTCTGCGCAATCTACCCTTGCATCCACAAGAAATGCATTCTTTTAAAATTTAAATTAAAATATGTATGTTCTTAGGATTTTATAGACTATCTATCATAAATAATAAAACACAGCATATGCTTTATGCTCTATATGGACACACACATAAAAAATCTACATAGACATAGGCAGATGCAGCAAGCAGGTCTTTCCAATCAGTAATTATACAGGGTGGAGTGGCAGGGGAAGCAAAGAGGGGAAAATACTGAAACAAATTCCTCCACTGAGCAGACAAAACACAAGACAACACTCTACAAAGTGGATTTCAAACAGAAAGGACCACAACTTCAAACACGCACAACCAATACCAGTAAGTATGCCGCAGAGGACAAAATCAGAACTTCTTACACAGCAAAGGTGGCACATAGATCAGTGTAATTGTGTAAGCAGTGAAAACCAATTAAGGACAAAAATCAAATATTTACCCTGGCAGCATTTTATCTAATTCTTCATTAAATCCATAAAGTTCAAACCTCTTTTTCAAAATCCAGACCCATCCCAAAATATCTCAATAAAACCATTTGCTTTCATTGGAAGCTATTAGAAATCATGATACCCTTTCCCAGTAGTTTTACATCTGCAAACAAAGACTACCCATACTAAAACTGCAGGGAAGTTTTACCTTTTCTAATATTAAGTTTAAAATAAAATACACTAATTCAAAAAACTTAGAATCTATATGCAGGATCTGCTCTTTTGTCTATAAAGTAATTTGTGGAATAATAGTGTTTGTTATCACATGGCAGGACTACCAAGTCCTAATATAACTCTTCATCATATTAAAAACAGTATTAATAATATGAATTAACAGGAATAATTCATTGTAACTCAGCAACTTAAATTACAAGTTGACAGATACATAAATACCATTTCTACATGTCTTGTTTCAATTTATGTTTTTAATCTCTACCATCAAATTATACAGAGCTCCTCATTACAGACTATGATTAAGGCTATACCAGCATTATACTTAAAATCTGTTTTAAAAGGCATTAATAACCTAGCTATTCAAATTCTAAGACTCTTTAAATTCAGTGGAAGGTTTATTCTATCACTCAGAGGCCCAAAGAGTAATGCTCTACAGCCTTTCTTAAATAATTTGGAAAAAATATTTGGAAAAATATTGTCTTTACATGTATGCTTTGAAACTACAACAATCACGTTTACCCTTCATGGGTAATCTTGTGGATACTTGTCAGTGGGCTAGAGCGTCAGGCACAAAAAATTTGCAGTAACAGTGGTATGCTGTTTACAGCTTTCAAATCCAGAAAAACTAGCAAACAAGAACATATAAAAAATACTGAGTTTCTTAAAATTAAATAAATCTGTTTTCAATAGACCTACAACAATTTGGTGTGGATAAAATTCACAACTATGGCATTCTCGTACCAAATCCATATCTTATTCATAAATGAATGTTCTCTACAGATAACAGCTTTCCATTATAAGCAATACAACTAGTTATCCTTCAGTGACAGCGAAACGGTTTTTAACCACAAAAGCTTAAATCTATGTATGCAAAACAAAATTTAAAAAACACCTCATCACATCCCCCACCACAGAAAGTCACTACTGAAAATGCTGTCTTGCTGTATTTTCCTTTAGATAAATAAATGTTATTCTATAAACAAAAGATTACTTCAAAAGTGATCAAGTTACTTGTATATTTAGTGTAAGAGAAAAGTGTCTAAATAGTGTATTCCTTACCAAGACTCACTCTTGAAATATAATCTTACTACTAAAATTCCCTCCTTACCATAGGAGCAACCATCAGCATTACTCCCAAGGTTAACCACTGAAGTCAGAGAGCCCAACACTCACAAGGTAAGTTTGTCACCCATTACAAGCAAGCAGTAGTTTTTAAATAATTCACCCGTTTTAAAATTAACCATCTCACACATTCATCTTCTGGTTTTCTCTAGCCTGGTAAGTGCATGGAAAAGAAGAATTGGGGGGCCATTTAATTATCTGGCTTTAAATATCTCTTAAATTTCTCTCTTCAGTGGTGACTCAGTAGGTGTCACTGTGATTGTAACACTAGCACACAGACACTACTGTATCAATCCATAAAAATTCCCAAAAGTTCTCTACACACTATGCAGGGACTGCCATCTTCCAGTCTCTAGAGATGGGAGCCACGAGTTTGATGCCTTTTCAAAGGTACATACCAGGGCACTGTAAATCCTACTGCAAAGGCACTAGGATAACACTACTGGACAAAGCTTTATAGAATCTCTCTTGATACTGGTTTTCCTTCGTTCACACAAAGAGAATCACTTAGATTTAAAAAGAAGGTAAAACAAAAATCAGCAGCATTAGCACAAAGATCCCAGAATATTAAGAAAAATTCACGGATTTTCACTTGATGTGCATGGGACAAAGCAGAGAGAAGGAGGAAAGAGCAGTACAGTAATCCTGTCATATGTACCAATAAGGGAGACTTTTTTTTTCCCAAAAGCCTTACAAGCAAAGAAAAAGATGTTACAACTGTCATTCAAAATTTTCTACAGATTACATATTAAATATGTAGACTGGATCCAGCTACCCAACACAGTACCATCCCATCCCCTATTCCACCTTCCACATAGCAGCACTGTGCTGACCAGAGTGAGGACATTTCCTTTGACTCCTTTCCTTAGGACCAAGGTATTTTGGGAGGTCAACAGCCTAATTTCCATACCTCTGTTCTCAACCTCACAAAACTGTCTCGAGTATCTCCCTTCCTATTTATAATACTATGTAAAAAATTGTCAGTACTAAGCCTCACAAAAAGGTAAGAAAAAAAAAAAAAACCTTAAATGATTTAACAAATGAAGAGAGAGAAAAAAATTAGCCAGGCACCTTTTAGTGACAAAGCTGGAATGCACTGATTTTATATGCCATACTGCATAAAATATATCTCTATATTCTATTTCTACATCATTAAAATACAGCAGCATGGTGTTCACAACTGCATTAATTAAGTATTTTTTAGAAATTAAAAAAAAATCAAAGGGCAGGTAATTTAGGTAGGCCATAAAAAAAAAAAACAAAAAAAAAAACCAAAAACATTAAAAAATCCCCCTAATATCCTCAGGATTCAATCTTTGAAGATGTTCAGCTCCTCAAATGAATACTCAACTTAATGCATTATTTTCAGTGCCCTAAGGGGATATATGCAGCATAGACTGAAGTCTAACAGCTAAAATTCATGCTTTACAGATTATTTTTCCCCCTGTATCTTAAATGCAACTATTATTAAATCAGGCTATCTTATTTGACAGAAGTAATAACAGCGACAGTAATTTCAGTAAATTCCCTTCCAATTAACTGCAAAACAAGATATTCTCAGCCACAATTCCTCCAATCTGAAATCAGCCTTTACTCCAACTCTAGACTGGGCAAAGCATTTTTTAATTTCAGGTATTAGAAGAATGTAGCAGTTGACCATTTCAGCTGTTTTACAGATGAAATATTCCACTCATGTGAAATGCTTCATTCCTCCCCAGTGAGTGCTCTTCCAGGTAACTTTTTTAGTGATATCTTTGATTGCATATTCTAACAATCAACTCAAATGTCCTAAGTATAACATGACTGCTCACTGCACTGCAGTTCAGTGTCTTATTAGCACAGCTTACCTGCAACCCTTAGCAGGTTTGCCAGTCCCAGGAGCTTAGCAGACTGTTTATAGTTTGTTGACATCTGAGCCAGACAGTCCTTGATGAGACTGAGTCGATCGGAGCACAAACGCACTGTTGAAAGGAGAACTGGTTTAGAGACTGCACAAATGAACTTGACTGCTGTGCTCCTGCTCAAACAGCACAGGACAGGAGGAGTGCTGGGGAATACAAGAATGCAAACACAATCTGAAAACCAACTCAAAGCTGCTTGCATGCAGATCCTCAATTATACCTGTAAACAGAAAGTTAAAACAACACCGCAGGATATCCAGCTCCAATCATTAGCAAGTCAGGCTGTGAAGGGAGCAAAGAGAGGAAAACTGACCTGAATGAAAACTCTTTTTTGTTTCATGTTTTCACATTCACTCTTTTAAAATGTGTACAATTAACTGATATACCTTTATACAATTTTTTTTAATTATATTTTTTACAACAGCCAGTAAGACTGCTAACGCAGGTATTAACTATTGTTTAGAATGTTGCAAGTAAGATTTCATTTATTTAGCATGGACAAGATACATCACACAGACTGAAAGAACTGCCATTAGCAAATGCTTCAGCTCATTTTAATTTACTCAAAAATTTCCTGAGGAAGTGGAAGGATAGTCTGCAAATCACCAGGTTCTTTCAACCATATCCTGGACAGTTTATAATTAGTACTGTGTTTCAAAAAAAAAAATTACCAAGAATTAAACAATTATTTTAACTGCATAATTTAATATCATGAACTGATTCCAGTGCTCTATTTAGCTCATTAATGGGTGGCTAACTTCAGGCTGCTGCTCTAAAAGGTAATGCTTTCATACTATGCAAGTTCTCAGAACACAGAGGAGCAGCATGCAGATATCCCACTTAACACTCAGTAAGAGGGAATGGCTGCATGGGGATAAACTTGGCATTAGCATATTGGGCTTAAACAAGGATATTAAGCCTCTCAATAAGAGCAAAGATATATTAATATAATGAAAACTATTAATTCTGGAAGTTAGACTAAAATAAATAAGAATGGAAGAGCAGGAAAAGGTCATATTTGTAGTTTCATTTTTAATATTCTATCACAGGCATATATTAGTATTCAACAAGAAAATATTTTCAGTCACTGATTATTTAAGCACATAATTACAACTAAAAGTAATCTGATATAATACTGTGGGTCAAACATTTAAAGATGGACTTGTCTTCACATTTTATTTTAATAAGAAGTCTTCAAACCAGATTTTATTACGTTATAGCATAATGGTAGTTCATAAACTTAAACTGTTAACTTTGCTAAAAACAGAAGTGGGGGAAGATCTACAGAAAACTTAACACAGAACTGCAAATAAAAGTCTATTGCTAAAAGACTTGCTGCAATAACAGCTGATTCTTAGTGCTACTTTAACAATATTCTATCACACTTTGATAGAATCAAATCATTTAAAGGATTTCATTAAAACTTGAAACATCATTTTAATCTTATTAGATTAATTTGATTTACATGAAAGATACTGAAGCAAGGATGTCAGGATCATTAATGAAATTTCATGCATGATTTCACATATTCTAATTAATCTAGATCAGTTGTATTACACATTCTGTTAATGCAGCATTAGGTCATTACTTTTTTTTAATTATACTTCCATGTCCACATCAAAAAAAGTTGAAGAAAATACATGCACTTTTTTACAGGCTGAACGAATGGACTGAAAAATAATTTTACTGTAGAAATCAACAGGCCAATACTAGATCTAGAAATCAGACAGTCTCAGTCCAGAAATTTTAAGATTTCTGATTATAACATTTGGAGCATCAATTCACTTGAATAAATACTTGGAACAAAAGAGAACAAAAAGAGAACACCAAAGTAATGTAGCAACAGCTGCTGAGAACATCTACTTCATTTTCCATGAAGTGGAAAGCACCAGAAGCGCTTTCCATAAATCCCAGTATTTCTCTGCACAATGCCAGAAGTAAAACATCATCAGCAGCACATCTCATGGCTTAGTGCTCATCTCTGCCAAATCCATGAGCAGGGTTCATGCAATTTCATTGTACATAATCATAACTTCTTTCCAATCTTTCTCCAACAACTTTCTGTTCCACTGGAGTTGGAGCTACAAAAGATTTCGTTTTAAGCACATCATGAGAAGAAATACCTTGTAAAAGTTCACTTCCACTGTCATTGGGTTTTATATACTTCACAATGAAGCAGCCCAGTGGAGACATGAAAACTGCCTGACATGAAGTACCTCTCTCCTACCTGTTATTTTAAAGCACAAAGCCAAGTGCAGATTATTTGGCAAATAAAAGATGAGCTCAATTTCTGTTCAAGTCACCAGGAGTTTCATATACTTGATGTTCTATTTTAAAGTTGTGCTAAAAGTCAAAAACCAAAGACACCATATGCAAATATCATTCTTACCTCATAAGCTAAAAAATTCTATTAAAAAAACAGTTTTTTCTATGTGCCTGTAAACTGCTTGGAGGCATCATATGGACTCTTTATTTTAATCATAGCACACTTATGTAATAGTAACTATTTCTCATGCATATTTATGCCTGTGATTCAAGTAATCATATAAAGAATAAAATTATGCAGTACCTTGCAGTGGTAATATTTTCACACCAAACTCTTCCAGGTAGCCCAGAGCACGAATGAGGTCCAGCTCCTCCTGAACAGCACTTGGACTGTCTTCAATAAGTTGGAGACAGCACCTAAATAAGAATGAAACACATTTTTCTGAAGTCTGATGAAAACATTTAAAATTGAACTTGTGGGAGAAGTTAACGGTGAGTGAAACAGAAAACAACCACAAGCAGTAATTAACTGCACTTATGATATGTCAGAATACTCACTGCCTTTGTAATGCACATGGGAAGTGTTTGACACAGTCTATCTCTTATAGCTGGCTAAATATTTTAACAAATTTCTATTTTTGCATTGCTTTCAACTGGTTGTCATAAACACATCACCTAAATCCTCCTGAATTTAGATCTGCAAGGAATTTATACATGATGTTGAAGGTATATGTACTTAAATATGTAGTTATTTTGGGAAATATTTCTCCTACCACTATCAGGTTCTGGTATTGCCACACAGTAGAAGATAAAAGCAAAGATATTGTAATATATAAGAGATATTGTCACAAATTCAGTTTCCTCAACTATGTACAGTAAATAAAACAAAGCTTATTAAAAAACAGAAAAACCCCACTAAATTGCTGTGAAGATGAATTAATGCATGAAATTTTAAGAGCATATTATTCTAAATATATTTTTTAGATCATATTTATAGTATATTTTTGTAATAAGCTTTTAGGTAGTTTTTTTAAATACAAGCTGCATTCTGGTACAGGGTAGTCATACGTAGTTTTACTAATACACATTGTCAAAGAAAATCAACATGCAAAATCACAGAATCATAGAACAGCCATAGGTTGGAAGGACCTCAAACATCATCAAGTACCAAATCCCTCGCCATGGGCAGGGACACCTCCCACTAGACCAGGCTGCTCAAGAGCCCTTTGAACACTTCCAGGGATGGGGCATCCACAACTTCTGGTGAGAACCTGCTCCATTGCCTCACCACCCTTACAGTAAAGATTTTTTTTTAACATCTAAATTAAACCTAGCCTCCTCCAGCTTGAAACTGTTACCCCTTGTCCCACTATATGCCCTTGCTAGAATTCATTCTCTGTCTTTCTTGCAGACTTCCTCCATGTACTGGAAGGATACACTTAGGTCATCCCAGAGCCTTCTCTCTTCCAGGCTGAACAACCCCAAATCCCTCAGACTTTCCTCACAGGAGGCTTCATCCCTCTGGACTCACTCCAACAGGTCCATGTCCTTCCTGTGCTGGGGACCCCAGGGCTGGGCACAGCACTGCAGGTGGGCCCTCACCAGAGCACAGGGGCAGAATCCCCTCCCTTCCCTGCTGCCCACACTGCTTTGGATGCAGCCCAGGACACATTTTTCTTTCTGGGCTGCAAGGGCACATGTCTGGGTCATGTCCAGCCTCTCACTCGCAGCACCCCCAAGTCCTTCTCAGTAGGACTACTCTGGATCTGTTCATCCCCCAGCCTGGATTGATAGAGGGGGTTGCCCAGATCCAGCTGCAGCACCACCTCTTCGTCTTGATGAATTTCATGAGCATTACAAGTTTCATGTCTTGAGTTTGTCCAGATGGCAACTCCTCTCGTTTTAAATGGCTAAAATCACCATACACATTAGATTAGGCAAGTATCTGATTTGTCCAGTGATAGACTGGATATTTTTTTTCCCCTCATTAATTAAGTGATATTTTTTTCTCCCCTCATTAATTAAGAATACACATTTTAAATAAAAAACAAGATTGTATGTTAGATGAACATCCCATCTGAACCCATCAGATTTTTCAGGCATATTGACAAGTATTTCAGGGTGAGGATTAAAACAGGAGTGGAATAAAGTAGCTACAGGGAAACTGGAATTGTCTGCCTGGGGAGGTGGTGGAGTAACCATCCCTGCATGTGTTTAAAAAAAAATGGATGTGGCACTTAGTGCCATGGTTTAGCTGAGGTGTTAGGGCATGGGATGGCCTCAGTCTTAAAGGTCTCTTTTACCCCAGTGATTCTGTAAATACATTCTACCTAAACCAACTCATACAGGAAGGCTACTAGGAGACCTACACACAACAATCACTCACAGAAACTCCAGTGAAGTTACCATGAAACAACTGATTGAAGGTTAATTAGAGGAGGACCAAAACATGTTGCTGAACAGAATAAACACAGGGTTCACACGTTCATAGCAAGTATTTGAGCTATAAACCATGTATTTTGAAATATCACCATAAAACCCTAAGAGAAAAGCTGGTCACAGAACCCTCAGGCATTAAAGGGGTCTTTAAACTCCTTGTATTAAAAGCAACACTACTCTGTATTTCTAGAGCCTGTTTATGAGAAAGATTCTCAAAAGAAGACTGGGGGGGGGGGGTGTGTGATACTAGCAAATAAACCCTAATGCTCTGACAACATGAAATCAGTTGTGTTTATGTATATGACAGTTGTAAAGGTACCTGGCCAATTCCATACAGCTATCAGTCAAACTGGTGGAAGAATTGAAATATTCTCTACCAGCAGCCAAAACCAGTTCAATGCTTCTGGCATAGCTGACTCGGTACTGTGGCTTCCCTTTGGATGAACTTGGTAGATCCACTGACCAAACACTGCAATGCATCATTTGCCCAGCCAGGTGGATATTTTCTATACTGCTTGAGCATAGAAGACTTTCGGTGAATATCTAAAAGAAAGAACAGTAATTTAATAACCTGCAGGAGCAGTAGCTTCAAATAAGCTTATCTGTATTGTATGGCATTAACCCCTTTGAATACAAGGATATTTGAAGTCAAAAGAATATATTCAGTCCAAGCAGAAAATCTAACTTCTACCAAGGGAAGTACTTCTACAGTGCAATTAAGAAAAGCTAAAATTAACTAGTAGGTAGTTTCTATTTACTGGAAGTTAAAAAAAAAAAGGCATATTAACTGTCTTTTTACAGTATGACTTAAGACACCAAAATATGTCTGCATTCTGAGGTGTTAATACAATGTAAGAATCTGAAAGGGCAGTTCATTAAGACCTTAAAACCAACAATGTAAGAGAAGAAATTTTGTATTCCTAAAGTAACTAAACATATTTAGAACTGAGTATATAAGATGTTCTTTAAATTTCAATCAAGACCGTCTTCAAAGAATGCTAACTCATATAATGCTGCATCTGCCACAAAACACCTGATTTATTTCAAGGCAGAAAGTTAACCCAGTTTAAGACACTCAGTCTCAATTCCTTAAAAAAATACTTTGCTTTTTTCTTGAGCACAGTCATTACTGTGCTAATGAAAAGGAACATAAAAAATTTAATCACTTCAGAAATATCCCAGCTGCAACAATACGGCTTTTATCAAAGGTTTAAAAGTTCATAACAAATTCAAGAGGATAAACAAATCACAGAAGAGCCAAGGCTGGAAGGGACCTCAAAAAATCATCTGGTCCAACCTTTCATGGGAAAGAGGGCATAAATGAGACTATTTAGCACTCTATCAAATCATACTTTATTTCAAGGTACTTATTTTCCAGGAAGAACCTCTCCAAACCATCTCATGCTCTGGAAAGGAAAATAGTTCAGTGCTTCTTACAGAACATCACACAAGTGGATCATCTTCCATTTCCCAATGTATTAACCCTCAAGGAACAGCAAGAGATGCAAAATATCATAGTTAACCCTTTCTCCTCAAAGATCACACACAAAACATTTACATCTCTCAAAATTTATGAAGTCAAGAGGACAGAATTCACTATGCATGGAAAAAGAAGAGAACAAATATCACGCTAAAAAATACTCAAACCTCACATGGGATTGCAAATCCTTACTGCCTCGTCAATTTATTAATTTTGAAGTCATCAAAGTATAATTGCATATGACAGCACCATATTTCAAAGCATTTTCAGCACTCCTACATAATTTTTTCCAAAACCCTTCATTGTGTTTCTTTTTTAATCGCATGTTTCAGAGTTTAAAAAAAAATCACGTTAATAAAAAACTTACATTAAGATCTGAGTAAAGCAAATGCCTTATTTGCAGAGTGCTCTAGTATTACAATTTCTTAACATGCACTTAAAAAAATTTCAAGTACACTAAGTACAAAATCATGACTATTAAACATGCTGCAGTTTTTCTAGCTGTACAACTACAGAAAAAGACTGATTTTTCTCATAAAGTTGAATAGCATTGTCTTTTTCCTTCCTTTTTTGCTTTTTAATTTGCTTTTAAAACTTCTCCTAAGAGCTAATCAGAGGGGTAGACATAAGCAATTAATTCTGTAAACTGCAATAAAACCTTCTTCTGTATAGATATAAACTCTAATTATAGGTGACATGCTAATGCACCTGTAATAAATTGCAGTATACTGAAGTGAAAATGTAAATAATACATGTCACAGCAAATTCTACATCTGTCTAACAGCTGTCTTTTGCAAATACTAATGACATGAGTTTGGACTTTACGCACATGCAATGGTTTTACCTTCATTCAAATTAGATTTCTCATCTCACATAAGTTTACTTCAATTGCAAGCAGCACAAAGTCCATAATCCTATAATGATCTTGGATAATATCATCAAACCAGAACTCCGTGTTTAAGAAATGCTTGAGTGAAGATAACATTTTATTTTCATTAGTCTGGAGTGTTTATTGCTAAACACATTTGTACTCAGAATTACAGGCTATGTAAGAAAATCTCACAAAGTTGACTCGATTTCTAAAAAGCTGAATTTTAATAAAAGATATACATAGTACTTATTAGAGGAGCTTTAGATAAAGTGAATAAACACCAGAAATTTTTTACTTAAATAAAATACTGTGAAAAAAAGGCAGTAGACAACCAAGTAGCAACACAGAAAAATGTATTTTTACCTGTAAACAACAATATGAAATAAGAATGTGTAGCTTACTTGGGACGTAAGTCAGTAAGAAGACATAAAACTCACCTCATAGCAAGTATCTGAATGTAAGCACCTATACACTTTCTGCTGCATGTCCAGCATATCCTGGAGCAATTCCTTCCACTGCGACTCACCAACGGACGGTTGCCTACAAACATTTTTTTAAATTAAATACTCTCTTCCCCAACAATTTAAAGAAGCAGTACATTTTCGTCACCAAAAATATAAGTTTTCTCAAACTTTATCTCAATATTTAATTAGTTTTAACCAGAAGTAATTCAAAGACAGAAGGCTTTTAATTTTATTGAATATTAAAATGGTGTCTGTGGGATAAAATGGTTTGAAAACAATGCAGTACCCAAAGGTTTGGGGGTTTTTTTGGTTTTTGGTTTTTTTTTTCCCCTGTGGGATAAGACAGGGATTTAAGCAATCTTTCTCAAGATCCTCCAAGTAGGTTTTGATAATGTTCCACAATACATCAGGAAGTTGGAAGTGCTATCTTCCTGCTGACCTGGGAACTGCAGAGCAAAACCAAATCTGTAACGGTAACTGAGGATCATTAAACTGCTGTTCATTGTAGGCAGTCTCCAAGGACTAATCAATGGCATGCAATCACAGGAGAATAAAGCTGCAACTTGATTTTGCTTCTTATAATTCTGAGTGGTATTCAGATTCTTGAGCCTCTGGATCTATGGATCTCTGTTTATCAACAAAGCTTCAACTTCTTGTCCTCTACCAAAACTTTTACTAGTAAAAACACTATGAATGTTTTTTGACATTATCTTGAACCTTTCAGATTAAAAAAAGACCTTTTTAAATTGCATGAGTTAGTTCCAGCTAATAGTGATTTTCTCATGTGGCATTAGCTTTTACTTTGGCAAAACAAAAGGTCTCCAACAGAAGTGGAAAAATCAACATTTTTCCTACAGAGGCATTGTGTCTTGATCTTTCTAAAGAGAGGTTTCTAAAAGTCTTAAAAGGCTTTCAGAGTACTAAAAATATAAAAACCACTCTACTATCATGGATAAACTGTTGTGCATATTTGCTTTAAATAAGAAAGACATATCACCTACCGTTATGGCTGGTTTTCCACTATTCAAAATTTTTATCTGCGTATACCAAGAGCCATTTAATAATTCATATGCATTTGAAAGATGAGTTAAATGAAAGATGAGTTAAACTAGAAAAATTGAAAAATTATACTGGGAATATATTCTACTAGTAGAATCAATACCTAAAAATGAATAAATGACCCTATTACAAGGATTCCAAGAAAACATGCCAAAAAAACCAAAGAATTATTTTACAAATCCTACACTCTCAATAAAATTAAATAGGTCTTAAAGGATCTTTTTTATAATATGTTAACTTTCACAATTCTTCATCCTGCAGTATTTTGCAGCCAGTATGCATTTTAGGCTTGTTTGCTTGAACATACTAAAGCAGGCTTGAAGGCAGGCAGAGATTTTTGACTGTGGAGAATGCAGCCAAAACACCAATCACATTAATCATCAGTTCAACTGAAGTGTTTACGCACACTGTCTGCAGGGTGAACACCACAGCTCCCTGCTCAGGAAGCAGGCAGGCAGGCTCTGTTACCTCAGTGCCCTTCCCCTCATCTCCCCCACTCCCCTTGGAATACTAACTTGCGACCCGTGTGCCTGGTCAGCCTGACCATCAGCTTCCGAGCCTCCTCTGCGCTGTCCTTGGTGTCCTTCACAAAGGAAACCGGCTTCTGCAGGCCGTGCTTCTCCAGCAGCTCCGCCACACTGCAAACAGAGGCAGCCTTTCGGAACCCTGCGCAGCTGGGCAGCTATGCTGCAGCAGCAGGACTCTGAAAGCTCCCTCAAAATATGCACTGCAAATGCAAACAGTCCCAAAAAATCTCTTACAGTACAGATTAGCCAGAGTAACACTACCTACATTTTTTAGAATATAAATATATTAATAATACTGTATGGTAAACACACACCACCAATACTTGATGACATACCTTCACAGTTTTAGTCTTTTATCATGCAAAGCATTATACAGTATCAAGATCAAAACAAATTCCTCAGGTTAACCCTCTTCCTCCTTGCCAAAAATACCCCACCAAAAATAAAACAAGCAAAACAAAAAAAACCCAACCAAACAAATAAAATACTCCCCAAGAGAGCCCCCACAAAAAAACCCAAAGAAAACAGAAAAAACAAAACACAACCCCCCAAACCTTAATTCCAAGAAAAGTATCTGTAGAGATTTGTAATATTCAAATAGATAAAACCATTCAAAATTTTTATGTTCTGAATATAAAAAAACATACAGATAATCTTGTTGACAGCATTAAAAAAGAAAAGATAAATATTTTTGCTGGTTTCTTATCATAAAGAGTTCTTGGCTATGCCTGTTGATTTCTGTATCACTAGAATACACTGTTTCTTTTAGCAAAATTAAATACCTGAGAATTTGTTCCAGTTCATCTACTTCATCATGAAGAGTGTTAGTTTTATCTGTTTCAGGCCTGCAATGATATCACACAATTAAATATATACATACACACATACTCCTTATAATTTCCTCTTATAATTCATACTACATAGATATGAAGATAAGCAGTCTGACACACCCCTTGACTAAAATCAAATACATGTTTACTTGCAAATATTAAAACTGTTGGGCTTCTTGCTGTAAAAACAGTTAAAATTTAGAGGGCCCCTTAGTCTCCCAAAAGCAAAGACTTAAGACTTTTCTCAGGATCTCTCCTTCCTTCATGTAAAAGATACTGCAAGAATAGCTTGCAACTCACAGATCACAGGCTATCTTCTCTTCAAGCTTACACCTTCTTGAGCATTACTTATCCCTCAATAGGTTTTTCTATCTTCCCTCTCTCACAGGGACATATTGCTGCTTTTAAGTTAAGTGCAAGATGCCACTATTGTAACAAAACCAGTAAGATAGCACTAACATTTGTTCTCAATTCATTAGGCTGTAAAAGTCTAAGAAACAGTACAGAAGCCTTGGTCTAGGCTGCTACTTTAACTCTTGTTTTGCTGCATTAACTGGTAGAGTATGTACACAGCAGAAGTATACAGATATACACATTACAGTCATGGCAGCTCAAAGGTGAACAGAATATTCCAGTAACTGCCTGCCCTTTAGTAACTTAACAACCCTTTTTAAAGCATTAATCAACAACTATATTTAATATTTCTAAAATATTTACAAATAACTAGCTGAAAATGTTTACCCATATCCTCTTTGTGGAAGGCATTCCAAAATATCATAACAGAGAGAGAGCTGGTCATCTCGCTCACAGCTGTAAATACATTCCAATGCTGTGATCATAAGCTGGTCCTGATCAGGAATAATTTTTGGCTGACACTAACAAGGAAAGAAAGCAAACTGGTTTTTATTTTTTCTAATTCAACAGTTAATTTTCTTTTGAATATAAAAATATGTGTACTCCAAGTAAATAAATTGTCTTCAAGTGCAATTAGCATGTCTTTTGCTAACAACCTGGTAAAGTCACAACCAAAAACTTATCTTGGCTAGTTTTCTGCAGTGCAGACACTTGAAAGATTAGTGGTATGCCATTATAACCCTTCTGGATTTGAGAAGTGGAAAGGGTGCAGGACAGAGAAAGGCAACTGCTGCAAACATTTGTCAGACTTACTTAATATGTACAACAGTACCAACATACGTAAAAGAGCTGTGGTTGTGCTTTGCTGGTTGATTTCTGTCCATACACTCAGAACATTCAGTAACATGCAAATATGTGCCTGTGTGCTCTGTAATAATTATTTAAGACAAAGAAGCAGCATGAAACACTCACACAGAAGGCAACTGCAACCCTTACTCATTCAACTCTCACCTCAATTCTAATGGCCCCCACTTTATTCTTTACATTTGCTGTGGAAGGCAGGAGAGGGGGAAGTAACTTGAAATCTACTCCTAGTAAAACTCCTCAAGAAAAAAAGTGAGATCATTAAACTTTTTCATATCCACTGTTTATAACGGAAATATGCCAGGAATTCACTTTAGACAAGTCACCAGGAAATTATTTAGAAGAAGAATCCATTCAATAATTTTTATTCTATTAGGCTAGAATCATTATTACATTAGCTTGACAGTCTCACCAAAGACAGTTTAGTTGCATTATAATTTATGGTAAAAACCTTTTAAATTAATGTTTTTTTAAAACATAACAAATCTTGGGTCCAAGAAAATGGGAAAGATTAGAAGGATGATGTGACTTAGATGAACTAACTATTTCTGAATTCATCTCTTCAGGACAAGAATTTCCAAAGAAACCAGCAGAATCAACAGAGCTCTTTACTTACATCAGGTTTTGAATTCTGAAATATCTTCAGAGGTAGAGTCAAGTCTTCCATTGCCAGTGTTACTAAGTATTCTTTAAAAAGGGCATTTGCAAGACCAGGGGACTGGTTTTCACAGCGGTGGAGAAAAGGGATCATCCACTGATAAACATTCTTCACATATTTTTCATCTGAGGACTAGACAAAACAAAGAGTTACAGAGAGGAAATATAAGACCAGGTCCAAATCAAGAAAGAACAGCAAAAACTAAATGGAACCTTTTTTGATCAATATAACTGAAACAGTTATCTTCACCTATGACAAACAGATCACTACACCATGAAGCACTGAAACAACCTTTCTGCTACCCAAAGGCTTGGGGACACTGAACAGAACAGGAGGAAAGCCCATTATGTGAGGAAAGCCTGCTTTCCTCCTGCAGCTTCAGAATGAGTGAAAGACCATGCAAGCATGTCAGAGTAGCACTGCTTTCAGTAATTCAGCAATAATGCAACATAGAAAAACAAGTGATGAGTGGGGCTACATAAATCAAAAAAAAAAAAAAAACAATCAAACAAGACCAATCCAACCTCCCCCCTCACCAAAAAAAAAAACCCAACAAGCAGTTATATTTAATTTCTGAGTATCTTCCTATTTTCCTCTGGTGCTTATGTGTTTTTCAACTGAATTTCAGATTCCTGCTCCATCTCTAACTATTTTTCAACCCTTCCAAAAGGTCTTTTTCTGTTCTGAAATTCCATGCCCAAGCTCAATACAGAGACAAAACCACACATCTGGTGCAGAGGCAAATATAAAAATTACTTGACATTATTTAAAGACATGAAAAAAAAAATCCAAGGAACACATTCCATGTTTTTGTATCTGCAGCATCATCAAGAGCTACACTGAAGATCCTAAAAAAAAGGCCATTGAAAAGGCAGTTCACAGCTTTCCAAGTAAGATTTATTAGCATCAAATCCCCAGCGAGGGCTAAAGTGGGCCTTTGATAAAACTGAGCAAATTTAGCTTTCGTTGGAAAGAAAAAGAAATAAACCCTACCACAAAAAAAAAAAAAAAAAAAAAGAACTGTGAAAACGTAGAATTTTTACTGAATTAAAGATGGAGGTTCACCAGAAAAAGGAGTGTCTTTATATACACAGGATCCAGGGTAATATGAGTTACTGAATTTCAAGATACTTACTGATTTATTCAAAATACTTACATTCTTCATCAACAGTCTCAGCTTCTCAATGTCTTTCATCTCCAAAAGTTCCTTCAAAGTCAAAGTTCGATCACCATCAGTCTCATAAACCACTGTCTCAAGAGTGATCAGGTTGTCACAAAGCACCTGCAGACCAGGAATGTTCCTCTCCATGCCAAGACGAACAAGGGACAGAGCACAGTCAACCTGAAAAATAATTTAAAAAACACTGCTGTACAACTGTTTGCCAAACACCAACTTCAATCTGAGTCCTGTCTGTGCATCTATTTTATTCCCCTTTTGCTTAATTTGAAGTTCCTAAAAGTTTTTGTGGACTGCATATTCCTAAATGGAATGCCCTTCTCAGCTTTATGAAGACCACATAAAATGTGTAATCTTAGGGGATGATATCATTATATGCTTTTAACCAAGATGCATTCTATAGATGCATCTTGGTTAAAATTAGAACATTAGTCCTTCTGGAGATCACACACAGCTCATCTCAGTATACTGAATATGAAAGACTGCTTTAAACTAAGACAGTCAGGTAACTGACATGCAATATGATTTTTCTAGCTGACCATGATATAGTCATTTTAATTGTTGCATTTTAGATCACAAAAATCAATGACAGTCTTTCTCCAGTGACTGAAACTACCTTTATACGAAAGGTTCTGTTTTGATTTCAAAGAACACAATACTGGCTATAAATATTCAGCAAGGCAGACATAAGTCCTGAAGAGCAGAATGAAACTTAATTTTTATGTTATATAATTTAATTGACCTTGGAAGTTGCTTTCATTTCCCTATCTACTGATTGGTTGTTAAGATCACAGGCAACTATGATTAAAAAGAGCCTGGTGGAGTGCAGACTTGTGGAACAGAAGAACTCAATAATCAGAACTAACCTTTTCATGCAGCTTAATTGGCTAGAGAAGCAATAAAATACCAGAGCACATGAGTGATGAACTCTGTTCTTATGTGCAACAGAGTTTCAAACACTTTTAACATATGAAGAAAATCAAGCAGAAATAAGCTGCATAGTAGTCCCACACACACAAATTAAAACTGCCAGGAAGAAATCATGACAGTACCATTCACCGACATGACAGTAACACATGGGACTGGCATGTATCAATATACACAACACAGCAGTGTGTGACAGGTCATAAAACACGTTCCCAACATGCTGTGCACAACCTTCCCTCCCTCAGTTACAAACATTAAATGCAATGGTAAACACTTTTCATGGATTACAAAAGAGCTACTATCTGCTATGGTAAACCAAATTAAACAGAATCTAGTGCCTTCCTTATTTATTTCTATGGCTTAATTATTTGGCTGAGTAAACTTTAGAGCAAGCCTAAGTACACTGCAGAAGAAAAAAACAAGTCCTTCAAAAGCCATAATGAAGTTGAGATAGAGCGTGCATTACTGAGAGAAAAGTGTCCTATTAATATGCATTAAGACTGTTAAGGATTCTGTTGAAGAAGGCTGCTCAGCCACCACCATTTCCTCACTGCTATTCTCACCTGCATTGCATATTCTTCAATTTCCTGTGCTCTGCTCAAATACCAATCTGTGATGAGATCTACAGAAAGGTCAGTAGTCCTGTACTTCAGTAACTCAGGCTGTTTTTCATACAGAAACTGGCCTTCATCTTGCAAAGTTGGTTCAATAACCATCCTTTAAAAAAAAAAAAAAAGTATATTTTAAGTATATATTTATTTACCTGTATTTTTTTAACATCAGTCTTTTTCCTAAAACTTCTGAAAGAAAATTACACAATCAACCTACCACAGTGAGTGCTAGTTTTTGTCAGCAAAGGAACTGCTAAAAGATTCTGAACAGGAGAGAGATCATGAAACAGAGAATCCTCTGTACTGAACTAATAAGAGATTTCAAACATGTGACAGATCATGTAAGAGAACGCTCTCTACTGAAGATCTGGGTTTGCACAACCTCTGCTTTCCATTTGGCTCAGTCAGTGTCCCTAAGAAAGCTGAAAACACAAGTCAGTGTGTACACAAACAGTAGGTGAGTCTTTCTGGTCAATTCCCACATTTTAAGAATAAGTAAATAAATTCTTTATATTTTTGCTTTTATATGTAGTTACCTGCATTCTTGTTTTTCACACCAGTCTTCTTCACGATGTTTCTGCTCATTCCAAGGAAGAATTTTCAATGTCCCCTTCTTGTAGCTGGTATGACAAAAAAGAGAAGCTTTACATAATTTTATGTCTTTTTAATTTGATATGGCACGCAATTAATGGAATACAAAGCATACAAAAAATTTCAGTGAATTCATAATAAGCATGTCAGTCCGTTACAGTGTCAATTATTTAAGATTCATTACTTCCTAGTGCAGCTTTACAAGTGTGGTTTTCCCTGCATGTTATCCATACAAACCCATATTCTACCTATACCATTAAAGAGCAAATAAAAAGTATTAATATAATTTGTTACTGACCATGCTTTAAACGAAGGAAAAAACTCATTATATACTTTCAGAGTTTTTACCATTTCACACTAAGTATTCTGACTTCATATGCTGTCACAAGAGACTGAAATGAGTAAGAATCTATGATATTCACACCTTTAAAAAAAAAATCATTCAAATTTAACACAAATCTTCATACTGAAAATACGTATGTCCTGCTGTGCTGATCTCAAGTTCAATCTGAGTTTCTGACTACAAGCTTCTACAATTAAACACCTTCTAAATACTGACGTTGAAGAAAAAAAAAACTCTTTAAGATGCAGGTCAAGAACATCATGGATTATTACCAGAATGATTAGTTATGGCTTGGTGTAGAAGGCTAGCTGTTTATGCAGCATAAGACACTAGAAAACCATGTCAAGCTATGCAGAAAGAACATAAACCAATGGGGAGGAGAAGAACTTTATAGGTTCTGGCACTTGTAGAAATAGGAAACAAACCATGTACAAAGTAGAGACATTAGAGATGCAGTATACCAAAACAATAAGCTATTCTAAATTTAATTCATTTTCTCCTGACCCTGAAAATAAACAGCAACAGCTATACTACATAGACAATCCCTTTTATAAACTAACAGCTGACACAATGTTCTCATCCCTTGAAGGGCAGCACTGTAACTCAGCAGCTTAAAAATAAACACAACTCCAACCAACAAATCAATTTCACAATATAGGAAGAGTCGAAACAATAAGCTAAAAATCAGTAACTCCATCTCCTTTAGCAACAGCCATTAAACTCACTGAACAAAGCCAGGCATGCCCATAAACTGCCCTGCCCCATACACATCTTACCCAGAACACTGGTCACTCTTTTCTTTCCCTCCTCTGTACATTAGCAAGCAATACCTTGTGTTTTAACACAGTTATTCCAACCCTCCAAATTATACAAGCTGTAGTAATCCAACAGTAAAATGGTGGAGACAGGTTTGTAGATTATAGAAGTTAAACAAATGAAGGAGTGAGGATGGAAAACTGCTAATTCCTGTGCCAGAGCTATAGCAACATCTGCTTTCAATTGTAGTTCACCTGAACAAGATACTCTATGGCTGTCTTTATAATTTTGCACCATGTAGCAACACCATTAAAAAATAATTCATAAAGAAAACTCCAAACTAACATCTGTGGTATAAACAGGAATAAAGCCACTTTCTTATTTTTGAAAGATTCATCATAAGCCCATACATTTTGGGGATACGGGGTGCTGTAGGTGTTTAGATCTTAAATAACATAATTTACCAATAATTTAATACTGACTTCATAAACTGAATTAATACAGTCATATTTCAAATGTCATATCGGAGAATGTTATTATGGAAGGCCCAGGTTGTAGTGAAAAAATTCTCTTTATCAGCTGAGATGTCAAATACCAGAAAAGCCAAAAAATGTGATTAATGTCTTCCAAAATATAAAATCAAGACAGTACAATCAGGACTTAATATTGCAATGATAATGCTCTCTTTTTCTGTGTTTTATTTGACAGAAAAGAAAGCAGAACAAAATTTGTCTAAGACAATTTCACATCTTAGCAAATTTTTTCCCATTTGCAGTAGGCTTAAGAAAACATTTCAAGGGAATGCTGGTTGGTTGGTTATTTTGTTTGGGGAAGGAAGGGGTGTGAAGGCAGGGAAAAGACTAGGGGTAAAATTAAAGAAAAGTGGAAAGTTATAGACACAGCTGTAACAGCATGGAAATTATAGAGGAAAATGCAGATGCTCCTCCCTGCATGGAATGATTTCCCCTACACAATACATGCCAAGATGGTCTAAATGAAGACTGGAGCAGAGTGGAGACACCATGGCCAGGCTCTGCTGAAATCCCTGCAATTCAGCAGTACTTTTCATCTGGTAAATCACAGAGCAGCTAAAACCCAAAGGAGATAACGGAAGATATCTTACTGTTGAATCATCAACTCTGGCAAAAACACTCTACTTGGACTGGTGCATATTCCCATCCCAACATTATATCATTACCTATACCAACATTCCCTGCCTCCAAGACACCTCTAACCCTCACTGAATACGTATTAAAGTATATACTTTCATACTAATTTCTTCACTTAAATGTAAAGAAATAGTATAAAAGCAAGGAATGGGGAGAAGTCAGGAAAGACTCCATCATAACTTGTGGGATCAGCTGATGGGTTAAACCTGTCTTCTCCCCCACAGGGATGTCCACTGGGTAAGAACCATGTTCAGTACACACTGAATGAGAATCTTGAGCTAACTTTTGTTAGGGAGTAGAACTTGCTATATTATGTAATACATATTGTTTTGAATAAGTTTTTGCAGTCAGATACTATCACCAGCAATCCTCGAACCTTAACCTGTCACAATTTTATTAACAGAGTGCTATTCCATAAACTGTAAGCCTGAGTCCTTCAAGAGGGCCCTCAGCCACTGGCAGCAGGGAACTCGCTTGAATAAAGGTGTGCACACCCAGGAGTTTCTGTTTGGCACAGAACCGCCCTACAACCTAGCACCACTCCATGAAGAGTCCCCATAATGGGACACTGGCACACTGGTCTGGCATGAGAGTCTCAGACTAATCAAACATGAAGGGTTTGAGGAGACTTCCTGTTTTCATGTGACGGGGGGCTTGTTTGCTTTTTCAGTTGGTTGGTTATGTTTGGGATTTTTTTTTTATGTTCTTGTTTTGGGAGGAACTAGGAGGATTTTTTTTAATATTAACACACTTTCTTAATGGGAAAAAGGTGCTTTTATGTAGCAAACACAGACAAGGGTTTCATTTCAGAAGCGGTTTCAAATGTCTGCAAAACTGTAGCAGAACTACTATGACAGAATAACATTAAGAGAAGATTTTCAGGTAACAACTCCAATTTCACATTACAGATAGCTTTTTCCTCCAACATTAGCTTACACAGTAATGTCTTAACTATTATTCTGTCCCCAAAATTTGTAATGCACTTTGTTAAAATTATTTGATGTAGTCGAGTCCTACAGGCCCATTTGAGATTATTTCTTTATTAGTAAAACAATACAATAGCAATTGCTTTTTTATAAACTACAGGGGTAAGAAGATATTCAGCTGTTGGCGAGGACCAGCTGGCAATGGAAGCTCTAAAAGCAGCCTGAGAGCCTGAGCAGTTTCTGAGGCTGAAGAATCAGAAAGTGGAGAACATGCACTAGATCCTGCTCTTGCCTTAGTCCCATTCCTTCGCACAGGTCCATGAAGAACAGCCCAAAGAGTACCAAGGAACCTGTAAAACAAGGTCTGACCCTCTCTGCCAGTTTCTCTCACTCACCTCTTGGCTGAGTGTCCACCCCAGGAAGGTATTTAAAAGACACGGAGGTGTGGCACTTAAGGACATGTTCAGAGATGAACTTGGCAGTGTTAGGTTTGAAGCTGGACTTGATCTTTAGGGTATTTTCCAACATAAACTATTACATTATTCTACTAAAGAGAACACAAACTGTGCCCCTACCCCTCTCTTTCAAAATCTGGCTTTTGCAGGAGTCTCTGATGCCTTTACCTGACAGTAGAGCAATTACTTACACAGTAAGTAAATACTTCCAGCAAGACCCCTTAAGAAAATTGCAACACATATTGTATTTACTCTGAAAGCAAAATCTTGTTCCCAGTAGTCACCTGCACTTTCATGACTCTCTTAAGTAAGAGCTTCCCACCTAAATAAATCTTCCTCTCTAATCTCAGAAGCCCAGAAGAAAATTTGGGGAAATTTTCTTTGGTTTGGCTGTTCTTCCAGTGGTTGCTTTGGTTGTTATTGAGAGAAAGAAGTCATGCAAAATAGTAAGGAAAGAGGTGCACACACATTTAATGTATATTTAAACTTCAACATTTTCCTCTTTAGACTAAAAAATTATTTACAAAGAAAATTACTACAAAAAAACAAAAACAGATGTTTAGAATGCAAATTTAAAACCAACCCTGCATGAATTAGATCTCAACGACACAGAACCAGGACATCTCAAAATGCACACACACAACCCTAATGCTACAATCCCTCCAACATGAGATTGGACATGAAAAATAAAAACCCAAAACAAAAAAGTTAAAGTAAACTCTAGTGACCCAAGCCTGTCCACTGCCAAATATCACACTGAGCATATTTTTCATCATTTTGCTGTCACATCCAGCATATTTGCCATAGATGTGGTGAAATATAGGTCCAAATAAGAAGTCATTTCTTTACAGATTCAGTAGTACAAAAGGTTTACAATTAAATTTGGCAAAACTTGCATATTTTTAGCTAGGTTATGTAACAATACAAATTATATGTTCTGCCTCCAATTATTCATAACATAGTAGAGTTACTTTACTCACTCTGATATACAAGTATTAGAGACTAAAAAGTTTAATTTTTATGCAAGCGTTACTTGCCCCTGCCTAAAGTCAACAGTTCTTAGCAAATGCTTCTTTTTGCAGACATGCAATTACCCCATATCCCTAATATTTTCAGAAAATAATTTGCATTTCCCTCTTCCCAGCTGAAAATTTATACTTTCTTCCCTATCCCTTTCTTCCCCTTCTCTACAACACAAAATCCACTTGGGTTTGCCCTTAAATTCCAACTGTTTCAAATATTTTTTTTTAAATAGGCTTTAAAATATAACCCTTTCCAAATAGCAGAAGTCATGAACTACATACAGACTACATTAAAAACAACTTTCCTAACATCCCAGGTCAACTGAAGCTGAAGGTTTACTGCTTAAAAAAAGTAATA